AAAAAAAAAAAANAAAAAAAAAAAAAACATAAAATAATATATATATAGTAAAGCTCTTTTTTTTCTCTAAAATATGATATTTTAATTTTGGTGGAGCCTGCAGTCCTCGGGGCTCTAAGATGAAGATGCAGCCTGCCTAGCTTAAACGTAATTTCAAGCCTTGATAAGCACATTTTAATTCATTCCTTATGTCAGAAGGATTTGGTAAAATCCAAATTGGGCAAAAGGTAATCAGTAAGGCTTTACAGGGTTGCCACGGGTCCTATAAATGCAAAATAGCATTAAATTATCCATTTTCTTAAGCACGCAATTCCAGATTTGTCCATTTTTTTAAACATTCAATTCTAGCTGAGAGCCCAATAAAAAGCTAATCAAATCAGTTTCAATTCAATTTTACACAAAATGGATTATTAGCATTCAATAATTGATATCAATATTTCTTAAAAGATAAATATTTAATACTAAAATTAACGACACAGTTAACGTTCAATGAGAGTTGTGTTCAAAAATAGGTGCCAATGTGAAATAGATATTTTTTGACATACGAGAATAATTTTTTTATAAATTGTTTGACCACCCATAACCCTTTTACACCTTTGGAATATGTTTTCTATTGCACTTTATTGTTCTTTTGATATTTTTAATAGAAGATTCAACACTTTTGAAATGACACATCATATTTATCTCTAAATATATTCTGTAGACATGCATCCTATCCTAAATATCTTTAATTTGGTTTTAATATCTTTCAACTGAATATGAATACATAACAATGTTTTATTCATATTCACACAAAAACCAGTGCAAAATTATAATTTCTAATAATTCCTCGAAGTGCAATCGCAATGATACTGTTTTGGCGAAATATAACGAAATAGTCTTTTTCTGGTGGACATGTTTCCTAAAAATTATAAACGCAAATAAACAAATTAGAAATTTTTTCAATTTAATGACAATTCTTTAAGTTTTTATTTTTCTTAAAAAAATATTTGTCATGCTTTGTCATCAGTGTTACATTTATCTAAGAATAGTTGTGAAACACAATCAACTATAACCTCAACTTAGACAAAGATATTTCTTAAGAAATTTTTTTTAATGTTTTATAATCTAAATGAATTATTTGAATGGGAACAAAATTTTAGAAGAAAGAGAAATTATTTTAAATATTGCAGTTACAAAAAAAAGTAAATAAATAAATCATAGTAATGCTGATAAATAATGTAATTCAGCAGTGCTTTTGATATTTTGATGAACAAGTTACTTCTTTTGAACACTATTCGCATGCAAGAACTTAAAATTGTCTATTACCACAGATAAGTTAAACAAAAATAACAATTGAAATTGCATGTAGTTGCGCCAACATTTTATCAGCAGTGGTTTTAAAGATTTTAATAGATAAGAACTTCGATAAAAAAAATTTAAAAAATGCTGCTGCTGAGACATGCACAGTGTGAAAAACAAAAAATGGAACATAATAATTTTTGGACTAATGGTAGAACCAGTATAGTGGAAAAATATAAATTAACAAAATAAGTCGATTTTCGTAAAAAAATTAAACTTCAATGATCATTTAAAATAAGTATAAAAAATATAAATTGTTTTTAAAACTCTCTGCAGTCTGGGTATTAGAATTAGAAAACAATTTATATATATTTTTTAGTTCTGAACAGACTATTGCCACCATATACGCAGTATATGGCGGTAAAAGTTATTTAATTATTGTTATACAAATATTATAATTATACAATTAACTGTAATTATACTTAGGGTAAGTCACTTTAATATCCAATTATTCAGGGTTAAAATATTATATATATATGTATATGTATACATATATATATATAAAGTATTATATTATATACATAAATACACACATATATAAATTGCAATAAGTTAACCTATCAAAGATAAAGAAATATATGAAGCTGTTCAACAGAAAAAAAATAAATTTGGGTAAAATAAAAAGAAGAATTTTATTAAATCTATTTGTAAAGGTTGAAATTAAACTTTTGGTAGTATAAATTGATTTGATCACAAAGGATTCAACACTGTGAATTAAAAAAAAAAAAAAACATAAGTAAAAATTCAGTCACAAATAAAATTAAGAGTAAAAATTCAGTCACAAATAAAATTAAGTTTTACCAAAATCATCAGAAATGAAACAGTATCAGATTTGAAACAGTATTTTCCTAACTTTTTGAGTAACTCAGAGCAACTATTTTGCTGGTTTAAAGTGACTAGTTACACACTTTTAGAGAAAATCAGGAAAAAAAAAATTTGTATTTTGAAAGTAACCAATTTTATTCTTTTAGAGTTATTAAGCAAAGGATAACTTTGCACTTTTAAAATGTGTTTTATATCCCTGTAGCAGTTCAGAGAAATTTTTTTGCACTTTTCAAGTAACCAGTTGTAAACTCTCGAAGTAATTCCAAATTTCACACTTTAAGCAACCTGTTTTATACTTTTGGAAAATTTAAAAGTGAAAAAAAAAATTTCACTTTTAAAGTAACCACTTTTATACTTTAAGAGATAATTATAACACAGACATAAGAAAGAGAAAATAACAAAATGTCTGAAAATGTTTATCAACTCAAAACATGGAGAAAAAAAACATGTAATAAAAAAAAAAAAAAACTTTTTTGAACAAAACAAAAACATACATACTTATTTAATTTTTTTTATTGATTATTTAATTTTTATCTAATTATTTAATTTTGTGCATTGACAGCACAGCAAACTTTTAAGCTTTATATATAAATCATGATTAAAGAGAACAAAATAAAACAAAAAAATGTCGAAATATTAAAAAAAGTAAGAGTTTAACATAGCATTTTCTTTCATTACTTATTCTTTGGCAAATTTCATTGCAATATTTATATTTGTATATAAATACACTAATCAACAGTTTGCAAATTGACAATTTAAAATGTTCTTTTGAAGTTCAGAAAGGTGAAAACACAGAAGAAAATTATGCCTGACAATAGTAATCCTTTTATGCCAAAAAATGCATTTAAAATAAAGTTAATTTAATAGAGTGTAAATAATTTATCAATGATAAACTATTTATATTACTTTAATTAATCATACATTATACAGGGTGATTGATATTCCTTTACCCAATTTTACAAACAATGAAAGTAAAATAATTAAGTGGTTTGCAAATGTTTTAGCATTCATAACATTATTTTCAGATAAATTTTATTTTAATTGAGCTAAAATATCTCACTAACAGCAAATTTGTTAGAAAGAATATTTTGAAATTCAAACTCCCTTTTTGTAAAGAACTATAAAAAAGTAGATTGTAGTTTAATGCCCCACAAATTGATGGAGAACCTCAGGGCAAAGTAGTAATCTGTTTTTTAGTAGTATATATATATATATATATATATATATAAGCAATAGAACTCATTGACAGTAATAGTAGATATATAGCTCAGTTAAGTTGAAAGATAATTCACTCATTAATATTTTGTTGATTTAGTTACATCCTATTTTCATATATATAAAAAAAATTGAACAATAATGGGGTAAAAATGTTAATCTCAGATTTAATTTTATGATATAAAAAAATCTTCTTCTTTCTTTTAAAAATAGATCAGAATTGGATATTTTTTAAAGTGAATTTTAAAAGCAGATAGTAGCAAGACAGAGCCCAATAATTTTGCAAGGTAAATAAGATAGGGTAAAATGGGCATTAAATAAGATTTTTCAAAAATACTAAGCATGCTATTAAATCTGAACTTTAAAAATTTATATTACAATAACAAAATTAAGATACAAAAGTATTCAAGGTGAGTAAGTTTTTAACAGTTTTTTTACCATGTAGTTATAAAAAGAGTTTTTGACGTGATGGTATTATCTATGGAAAAAATTATCACTTCAAAATCCCTGTACCAAAAATAGCAAATTGCAGGTAATAATGACCAAATATTAAATACTGGTCTTCTAATACAATTTTTATGTGTTTAACACGTGGAACAGAAAATGCCTGGAAAAAAGTTAGATTTTATAAAACAATACTTCAATTGTACACCACTATATGCGAACTACAGATCTGTTAAAAGCTGTACAATTATAAAGTTGATTTAAAGAAGACATTCTAACATTGGAGAAGAGTTTCAATATTCTAATAACTATGCTCTCATTCTCTAATATGAAAATACAAAATATGAAATTAAGTTCACGAGTTAAATTATTAGCAGAATATTCTTTTGTGTACTTAACTATTTTACAGCATTAAAATTGATTTTTTAAATTTTTTTCTTCATACAATATTATTTAAATAATGTTATAATTTAGATTTTATGCAACAGTAAAATTGAACTAAAAAACTCACAAGTTTTAAAAGCAATTCAATTTCAATAATAAAAAATTAAAATAATAATTACATAACATTTCTGATTTAAATTATTCTATCTCATATTTCCTGAGAAGAAGAAAAACTCTCATAAATATATATAGCTCAAAACTATAATTTCTAGTTTATTATGATTATTGTTATTTTATATTTATATACCATTCAATATACTTATATACCACTTTCTTGTTTTAAATACAAAAGAAATCCACATGAATTATATTATTGTAACTATCATTTTTATTTTTTTGCAAATTTTAGATGGTTGTAGCCACTTATGTGAAAAACCAGACTATGATGTCAAAAACTTTAACCAGGTAACAAATAATAATAACTAATAAAAAAAGCAGTGTTATACAACATTAAAAAAAATAATAAATAAATTTTTTAAAAAATACATAATTTGTCTTAACTCTTTATGTTTTTATCGGGAAGCAAGAAATTAATGCTAAACTAATAAATAAGTGGTTATTTTATAACTCTTTACTCCTTCCACAATTTGAAAGACTTATAATGCTGCTTTAGAGGTTAATTTATAAATTTTAACAAAATGCAATAAATTGAAAAATAAGCCACTTACACAATTAAATAAACATTAAAAAATTAAATATTTACAATAGTAATTCAACAAAATCCAATGATGTGCAATAAATAAGAATTTTATTATATATATTTGTTTCCAAACTGATTGCTTATTTTGAACAATTCAGAATGTTTACAATTTTTTTTCTTTCTGAAAACTGAGTTGAAATTTTATAGGTTACTTAGGTCAAGAAAGTCCAGGTATATTCATAGGAGTAGGATTTTGCAAGTAAGACATTACCACAGCAGAGATTGACAACCTATTAAAGTAAAGAAACTAATAAGTACATAAATACATAATAAAAAGATGTAACATCATTATATAATTTTAAGTTTAGTCACACTTTTTCAGCAAATGCAAAATTGGGAAAATGTTTATTCTCAATAAACTATTTTCCTACCTAATTATATGGAAAAACTGGTTTTGTTTCTCAGTAGGTAAGACAACATAAAACAGCATAACAGTAACCATTTATTTGAATGTTAAAAATCTTTCTCTTTAAAAAAATATTTATGACTTGCAGAAATGAGATTGAAAAAAAAGGAGAAAAAATAAAGCAGCAAATTTGTGATACCAATTTATAAAATAATAACAGTTTTGTTTAAGTATTGACTCAAGTAAATTATTTAATAATCTTTAACAAGAGAACTGACAGATCATATCAGCAACATATCAACAGGCCAGAAAAAAAAATATATTGAGAGAAAAGAACATTTAAAAGACATAAAAATTATTCTGAGATAATGAAATGGAAGAAACTTAAAGTTTTAATTAGACAAGACTAAATTACAAAAATAAAATAAAACTATCAATGTAAACTCGAAAGATTTAAGAATCAAAACTAACAATAGAAGCCTTAGTTTAATTGGCAAAACTTATGAGTCATTAAACATCAGATCAGCCACTTTTAAAAAATCACTCTTTGATTTTAATGAAATATAATCAAGAGATTTATTGAAAATTTGCTACTAGATGACACAAGATTTCAGATGATAAGCACAATTTTTAGTTAATATGCAAGAAATCCTTAGTTCATGTAAAAATATTGTTATATAGACACTGTTTCAATGGAAGAAAGCAAATAAATCTTGAGGGATAAGCCCTACCTTAGGATGAAATATTTTCAATGTGGAACTTATTAAATGAATTAATAAGTTTCAGTATATACTAGATATTTTGTGAAAAGCAAAACTTATATGCAGACTTATATTAAAGGAAAAACTTTTTGTGAACACAAAATTTCAATTAAAAATCTCTTAACACACATAATTAACTCTTGTAACCAGTTTCAACTCTTTCGTCGATACCACCTCATTTGCGTGACATTTGTTTGAAAATCATGGTCTTTTTATAAAATATTTAATTTTTATAGAACTCTATCTATTGATTTATACCACCGGGATGAGTTTGGTAAAAAACCAAAAAAGTTAAAAATAGAGATTCAAAGATACTTAGCAGCAAAATAACTTGGTCCCTCATTGGACCAATATTCATGAATCTTGGCTCAATAAGGATTCAAAGGGCTGTTATTTTTTTTTTTTTTTTGATATTGGCTCTATATAGATTTAACCCAATATTTTATATTCATTATTCAGCAAATATAGGCCCTATACAGGCCGAACAAATTACGGGTAGCAAAAACTGTCTCAATTGATGTTTGTCGTCAGATTCGTTTTCAAATCCTGCACAGGTTTCAAGAAGCCACAAAATACTTTTCTTTCTGCAGCACTCATATTTATATTGAAATCAACATCAAGTCAGTAATTATAAGTTAATAAAAAATTAATATAAAAATATGTTAAATTATTATTATGTAAATACATTAAAAATGCATGCTAGTGAAAATAAAAACAGCAGCGGTTGCCATAGCAACGCATGCAATGACGACACACGCACACTGTTTACTATTACTCTTGAACACAGTTGAAACAAGTGATGACGTCCAAATAATTGTGCACGCCTTCAAATCCAAACTGAGACCTATTTCGTCACTGGGTAATATCAGTTATTTTTTAATACAATTTTACCAACCATATTAACCTATATTTTGAAGTATTATCCTATTTAATCATATTGAAGTGTTATCATATCATCCATAACTTAATATTTAACTGTGAAATATAGATCATAAAATAAAAATTGTTATCCTACTATATTTGTTATTTGATTTTACCTACAATAAATAACTGTAAATTCTACTTACATAAAACTGCTTAAGATTTGTTTGGTATCATCATTTACTCTAGAATTTGCAAAGCTGATACTAGAACAATAAAGTGCTATCCAAGCACACCACTTTAGCTGTTAAAAAAAATATACATAAAATCAAACTTTTTATATATAAAAATAATTTATGCTATGAATGGAATTTTTTTTTCTTCTTTCAAATTATCATTATTAGGGTACACATAAAAACATGTTAATTTTCACCTAATCACCATAATGCAGAAAAGTTGTTTAGATAGAAGGGATGGCACTGTAATTTTTAAAATAAATATTATTTATCTTCCAAATATCTCAAAATTCAACTATTTTTGCAGATTTCTTCAATCAATAATTAACTACAATACATTAATTGCTCACACCATGTAAGGTTTGAACAATACAGATAAAAACGTATTCCGTAAATTTGTAAATTTACATGTTTACACATTGCAGAGAAAATTTTATAGTTATCATTTTTCTTCATGACTTCACCCTGTACAAAAATTTAAACGAGAAGAAGTATATCACAATAAAATAACGGAATAACAGAACATATAATTTACACAATGAAAAGTTTAAGAAAGAAATTATATAAAACTTTCAAAAAAATTAATAAATAAATAAACATAAAACTTAAATGAAGTTTTTATAAAATTACAATGTTTAGTGAAAACTGAAAGAAATGTACACAGGAAAAATATTAAAATTAAAACACTTTTTTTCTATCATAAATAAATTTTCTGATATATAACATTCATTATAGAGGGAAATAATTAGTATTTTTCGCTAATCCCCATACAATGTTTAAATTATTACTTGTATATTTATTTTTATTAACCAATGGTCTAAGTCAGGGGTGTCAAACTCGCAGTCCGTGGGCCGCATGCGGCTCAAGATGAGCATTTTTGTGGCCCACTCAATATATCAGAAGCAAAGTAAAAATAAAATAGAAATGGGAATTAGAAACGAAACCAGCATATAAAATTATAATATACTTTACTTATGAACTATATGGATAATTTTAATTGGCTGAAATGGAGTCCGTTTCACACTATGCTATCAATTAGATAGTACCTACATAATCAATTTTATCCTACTACAGCGAGGTAAGTTGGTTATCTTGCTCTAAGGTTCTCAAACAATTCTGGGATTTGAAAGAAAAAATATGTAAGTTTTTACAAACTATAAATCAAGATACAAGCTTGTTCTCCGATCAAATATGATTGCAAGATTTATCTTTTATGGTTGATACAACCAAACACTTCTCCGATTTAAATTTATTGTTACGAGGAGAGGATCAGATCATTACGAACATGTTTGACATAATTAAAGCATTCAAATGTAAACTATTTCTTTGGGAAAGGCAACTGAAAAATGAAGATTTAACGTTTTCCCCAACGTGCAACAAGAACAAATCTAGTTTAGATGATACTGCATCATATCAAAAATACGCAGAAAAAAATTTCAAATCTTAGAACAGAATTTGAAACAAGGTTTAAAGATTCAAACATAAATTCAAATCTTAATTGAAATAAATAAAACAGGACGTAACCAAAATAAACATAACTACATTAATTCAAATTCAAATTGGAACAGTGCACAAGGCAGCTAAAACCAAATTCAAATCTTAAAAACAAGTAATAATATAAATTTACTTAAAAAAATATATAAATATAATTCAAAGAAAATTAAATAAAGTTGTGTGTTTACAGAGCAGCACTTCATCAGGGGACACACTGTCTGTAAACACACAGGAGCCTTTCTGTTGTTAGTGGCAAAGCCAAAACTAACAGTGCCCCGAGGCCCCTAATGAAAATTCAAGCATAAATAATAATAATAATTACCACATTAAATATCTACCATAATAACATTCATGAAAAACTTTGTAATAAAATCACCTTTACTGAAACAGATATACAAAACATTTAAAAGACATAAAAAAAAACCGCCCCCAAAGCACATAAAAACAGTTACAGTTAGTAAAAGTGAAGAAGAATTTCCTTATAAATTCCAAATCAGCTCAAAATTTATATTGTGCTGACACCTAGGTAAAAAAACAAATTAATAAAAAAACAAATTAAAGAGCAATAGAATCCAAGTGCCGCCATCTATCTAAAAAATCCCAACAATTTTGAAAAAGAAAACATATTCCCAATAAATTTTGTAAATGAAAACAAATTCCAAAAATTTCAAGAAGAAAATCAAATTGTTCACCGTCTAGGCCTGCTTAGACGGGCTTCAATATCGGCCAAGTTAATAGAATTTGTTTAAAATGTCTTTAATCAAAACATCAAAATTATTAAAGTTGAAAGGAAATTTATTTTTCTTTAAACTTTTCTTTAATACCTCAATAGCCGTCAAAAAATCTATACGGTTATTACAAATGAATTTGAATCTCATTATTTGACCAAATACAATATTCTTGAAAATTTTATAGTAAAGGTTGGAATAAAAATGCGTAAGGTTAATAACATTAAAATTGAAATCCTTCCTTTTATCATAAACCCCAATGAGATTATTGTTATTAGAAATATTTATATCAAGATCTAGAAAAAAAGCACGAGAGTCTTGTGAATTAGTTTTAATTAAACTCAGTTCTTCAGGATAAATATTATTAATCAAGTCAAAATTACAACAATCGAAGATGATTAAATCATCAATAAACCTAAAACCTTTTAAAAAATTATTCTGTAAAAATTTATTCTCATAAAAGTGAAGGAAAATATTAGCGAATGCACTTGAATAACTATTACCCATAGAAATACCTTTAATTTGCCTGTAAAAACTAATACCGTTAAAAAGATAATTTTCAAAAATGTTGACATTGCATAAATTAATCCAGTCTTCCCTGTCAATACCTTCATTAATCAAATAATGTTCAAAAATTTCAATACAAATATTTTTTAAATTATTGTGAGGAATACTGGTAAAAAGATTTTCAAAATCACAGGTAAGAATTGTATTAACACGTGTGTTGTTTAAATATTTAATAACTTCTTGGTTGTTATTAATGATAAAATGTTTATCATTAGAAATAATTTTGTTTAAAATAATGTTTAAGTATTTAAAAAATCGTTTACCAAAAACAGAATTATAACACCCTGTGCAGCATGTAACAAATCTAAATTTAACAGGTGTTTTATGAAATTTAATGGTCGGAAATAAGTATGGGAAATTAAAACTATTTGGTTTTGTTCCAATTTTTTTATAAAAAGCCAAAATTCTATTTTCAATTTCTTTCTTAGAGCTGTTAATCTTAAGGAAAGTATCATTATTATCATATTCAAAACCAATAATATTTCTAAAGAATTTTTTGCACATAAAGCCAAAATTATTTGAAGCTTTATCAACCACACAAATAATAAATCTCCCTTTCAATTCTTCTATAGATTTAACAATATTAGAATTTAAATAAAAACCCTGGTATTTTGTGTTGTTATTTAAAAAATTCAATTTAAAATTATATAAAATTTTATATTTCCATTCGAAAAAACCTTCTATGGGCCAATTATATTTCCTAAAACACTTTGCAATGAAGCCGTCTAAATCTTTACTAATTGAGGAAATGATAAAAGGCAAATTATAATTTCTTCTTGGTCTAAATTTTGTACCAAGTCTCATAAGCAATCTTAAATTTTTATCAGTAACCAGGTCAAAAGATTTAATTCTTTTAAAAAAGGTTTAAAGATTTTAATTCTTTGGAAGACAAATTTTGAATGTTTTCTTCGATTTTCTCAATAAATATAGACTCAGTACCCAGTTATATAAGTGAGTGATATTCAGTGCGACTAAAATTTGAAGGTAAAATTCATTGAAGTGGGTGTGCCTGAATTTCATGAATATTTAATGACAAGGTTTAAAAATACTGAAAAATTCGAGTATGAAATTATTTCCAGGTTAGGAAGTACTTATCAGTGAGAGCAATTATTTTCTGTTATGAATGGAAATAAATCTCCTGTCCGAAACCGTATTAATTACGCTCACATTGGGTCAATTTTGAAAGTAGTCTCGGCCAATAAAATTTCTCCTGAAATAGAAAAAATAGTAGCAGAGTAGAGATGTCAAGTATCAGGACGTAAACAATAATTTAACTTCATATATGTTTATTACAATTCAAAATAAAAATATTTGTTTCTATGAACATTGATTTTTTTGCGGCCCACTTAAAGTTAAGTATTGTTTATTTGGCCCAAGTTAGCTTTTGAGTTTGACACCCCTGGTCTAAGTAAAACTATTTTCACACATATGCATATTTTTAAAGTTCAATGGAATCAAATTTCTTCTGATTAGTGAGTTTAACCTTGAAAACAGCTTGAACAACAATAATATTAAGTTAAACATTAACTTTAACATGTGACAAGTTAAACATTAACTTTAACATGTGACAAGTTAAACATTAACTTTAACATGCTAACTTTACCTTGTGAAAAAATATAGCATTGGCTTCACTGTTTTTTTCTTCCATTGAGTTATAACAATAAATTAATATTTTTTAAGTGAAAAATATAATTGGATTTATTAGGGAGACATTCTTGATATGAACCAAATAAAGGAATTAAACAAAAATTATTACAAAATAATGTAACTTAGTGTAATCTGAACAATTCTATTTTTAATAAAAAAACACATAAACAATTTGCAATTAAGCTTTATGCAGAGAATGATGGTTATCAATACTAATTACAGATTCATCACAGGAATAGAGTCGAATTAAGAACTTGTGGTAATCAGAAATGTCTGTCATATTTTAATATAGCAGAAAATTACAATTATAAAAGGTGCAAGATTAGTTTTTAAGTAAATATTGTCACAATTTAAAATTGTCTCACACTTATTTAATAAATCATACTAAAATATTTTAGTATGATTTATTAAATAAGTGTGAGACAATAGATTTTATTAATTTTTTTCATAAATGTTTCATAAGAAAAGTTTTTAAAATTTTATTAATGCTATTGTATGTGGTTTTTAAAAGAAAAACAAAACTTTAAAAAAAATGTCAGCATTTAATTTAGTTGATTATGAAAAAAGTTGATTTAAATAAATAAATTTTTAGAGAAGCCAATCACGACATACAGTTCTCCTTTAAAATATAATTGGAAGGAGAACAGAAAAAAGCATATTAGAAACTTTTCAAAACAAGCAAATATATTTTAAAGACAAGTTCTGTCACGAAAAAAGGTAAGGACTATTTTCGTATCTAAATTTTAAAAATGTGCACCAAGCATTAAAATTACACTACAATATTTTAGCAAATATACCTAGAGAAATTTTATATTGAAACTTAAAACACTTATTAAAGCTCTTTTGTCACTAAATATTTCAAAAATGCATACTTTCATCATGAGCCCAAACATACTGCAAAACATGCTGAGGACGTTCATATAATCTGGCATTGGATCCTCTCCAGGTCCAGAAGCGCTACAAGACGCAGGTTGTTTTAATCTATAATGAAAAATGTCATTATTTATATTTATCAGACATACATAAAATTACTGGAGATATATTTTCATATTGGTACATGTTCATGCTAACTATCTCAATGAAGGTGTTAAAGAGTTTAAATTGCAAAAATTTTAGAAAATGGAAAGACAAAAATATATGGTATATTTTTTAATTTCTCCCTACTCTCTTCGGGGGTGATTTTTGTATCATGATCTGCGTCAGAATAATCGCCAAAACTTGGCAACTTCCAGGCAACAGCCCATGAGAAACTAGAAAAAACATCACAGAAAAGGACCTTTTCGAAGGGCGTAACTCATTAGTCACCCATGGGATAACCACATGATTTTTTTTTGTTAGTAAAGATTTCTCCATTTTAAAACAATTTGCAGCCTTAGCGATTGTAGTTGCATGGCAGAAATATCTCCCTCTCTTGCCAGTACCTGTTTGTCACCAACCTGGAAATCTTACCCTTTGTCTTAATTGGAAAGACATTATAATTTCTTCATTAATCTTACAATAAGAGTTGCTGAACAATAAATTAGAATCATATTAAAATGTTCATCATAAGGCAATAAATAAATTTTTTTACAGTTTCTTTCTAATTAGGCCATTTGAAAAGGCTATTATATATCATTCCTCTTTTTTTACAATGTAAACCCTTATTTAAGATTGCAACGAATAAAAAAGACATTTAGGTAATGATATTTAACGTTTTTCATTTTAACAGAAAATAAAACTAGAGAATCAAATGATTTAATCAAGGAAATAGATTTACATACTTATCATGAACTTTTGAAAGATCACAAAATAATTTTAATACGTGACTAAACTACTACTTCATTAACTTTTTTTTTACTGAGATATTTCCGTATCGTGATCTGTCACGCCAACTACAATCGCCAAGGTGCCAAATAGATTTTAAACTTGCAAATTAAAAAAAAAAAACATGTAGATGTTTGCCCGGGGTGGCTACGAGTTATAACTTTCGAGTTGGTCCCTTTCTGTGATGTTTTATTTTAGTTTCTCGCGAACCACTGCCCGGAAGATTCCAAGACTTGGCGATAATTCTGCCACAGATCACGATACGGAAATCTTCCCAAAACATCTACAATGAAATATAATTTGATTCAAGAACATTCCACCATAAATATCTTAGGGATAGATAATAAAAAAGAAACCTTTGGATTTTATCAGGCCTTCGAGGGTCACTACTATTATTGCTTGAAGGTGTTGTGGACATTTTTACACCAAAATATTAATAAAATATTGCTAATATAGATAAATTGTGTCAAAATTAATTCTAATTTAATTATCGGAGCAGATTTCAAAACACAACGACACAGCTATCGTTGCAGTTAGCAGGCATAAAAAGTTTTCATTTTAAGTGTTGCCATCTTGAAACATTTTGAAAAAAATGAAAAAATTACAAAATATCTTTAATTTTAATATCAGTTGTAAAATGCTTCCTTAAAAACTAATTATAATTAATTAAAAATAATTTATAAGATTTTAACAAGATAGCAAAAGAAATTATATTTAATTCCAGAATAAATGTTCTGGCACTGCAACTTTCATCATTTGAAGTAATTTTCTATTTTCAAATTTTTGTTTTGGTCTAGTTTTTGGGGAGCATAGAGGTTGGTTATTGATAGTGTTCTACGATTGTCAGATGAGAAAATTTAACTAAAAAAAAATTTATATAATCGGAATAAAGTTTAGGTAACTGAATAGTTAATTGCTTATACTGTTAAAGTATACGTTTTATCGTAGCTGCTTGCTAACGATTGTTATTTACTGCGCAATACTTATAATTTCAAGTGAAATTGTTTGAAAAACGCATAAATTCTTTTCACTAGTGATTGTAATAAAATGTTAAAAAACTTAGCCTCTAGTTTGTGATGAACTATATTTTGGTTGAAATGTTACAGACACTGTAACAGTTCCCTCTCTCTTTTTTTCTATTTGTATCTCGTTTTTATGTATACCTGAAATTGTTGTCTTTTGCTTGTAATTATTAAGATACTAATTAGTTATTTATTAAATGATATTTTAAATATGCAAATAATATGTAATTAAAAGCCTTTCGGGATCTTTCATGATGTAAATGTCTCACTTCTACTCCTCCTAGATTTCATCCTTTAACCATCATGCAGTTTCTTATGAGACTTAAGAAAGAAATGGAAAGATTTCATACTCATTCACTTCATGGTATTTCATGCTGGCAAACTGAAAACGTGCAGCAGTTGCAAGCAAGTATGAAAATTATTTTCAGTCATGCAAAATTTTAAAGTAGAAAAAAAGTAATTTCTAATTAAGATGCCTTTAAACTAAAAAGTTTCGTTTTCTAGAAGATAATTTTTGTTACTTTAGAAAAAGGCCTAAAATGATATATCTTCACCTGTTCCATATTGCCTTTCTAAAATAATTTATCGTACTCTAAGCATAAACAAGATTTCTATTAATGTAAGTGTATTTTTTTTTCAAGAAAAGAAAAGTTTAATATAATTTTTTTGACTTGTTCTTTGTTTTATATGTTAAGCACCTGTTTTTAAATTTTTCCTAAAATATTCGTTTTTGATAATCAAGTGAGCAAAAATTGAGAAAGATATTTTAGCATTTTTTTTAAAAAGTTATTATGGATGCATAATGAATTTATGTATAGGATGAATTTATAACCATCAACCAAAATTTCCTTCAGAGAATTTTTTTACCTACAGAGTATCCGCGCACCTGGAAAGTCATGAATTTTGGTTTTGAATAAAATTTGTCATTATTTTAACTATTTTTTAAAAAAAAATCATGAAAATTCATGGATTTAGGTCGCTGAAAAATCTAATTTTTAAAATGGAATTTACCCACCCCCCATTTCATGATGTCCTGAATATCTGAATTTGTAACAAAATCTCCACTAAAGATATGGTGTTCTTTAAAAAAATGAAAGAAAAAACTTCATTTCTAGAGCGAATTATCTTTTAAACTTCCTGTGATTTCGGAATTTTTATTATTATTTTTATTTTATCAATTTAAAATTCTAGCTGAAGCAAGCCAGTCATTGAAGAATTTTTTTTATTCCGAAATGAAAACAGAAAAATTGGGAGTGTTTCTTTTCTTTTCGATGAACAAGAAAAGTATCTTAATAAGTAAAAGAATATAATTCTGCACAACAAAATATTTGCTTATGTATTTTTTTCAGCTATTTTATTGCTTCGACTCTTTCTTTACTTTTTTTTTTAAATTTAAAATTTATAAATATGAAGATGCAGAGTATGACAGTTTTGGTTGTACCTATCATTTCAATTAATGTTATTATATTGCTTTTTTAAATGTATTGTTACATTTTTGTCAGAGAAAATAGTAACTTCGTCAAGTCATGAAAAATTCTTGATGTAGCAAAAATTCTAAAATGTAGCAGATACCCTGTACCTATTATTGACAGAAAATCATTTTTAAATGTTTCCAAACAAGTTTTCTTTTCTTAAGTTAGTAATCAAAGTGAATGAAAAGTTTTCTAGTTTTGAAAAAGTAAGAGTTGAAAATGGAAAGTTCACATTCTGCTAAAATAAAAGATCCGGAAGATTTCTTCAATTTTTCTGAACAATTCGCTTTCTTTAATACGAAAGAAATTTTTTAGAATTATTTTAATCACTCTAAAAAATGTATATTTTTTAAATTGTACATAAAACTCTGCTTGTCATGTTAACTTTATCATGTTTAAGCCATTTTGAGTCAGATTTTAATTCAATTGTCCCATTTTACCTTTTATTGCCTTAGGCCCACCCCTGGTTGGAAGACCTTTAGGTACATTAAATCTTAACAAGTGTATCCATAAATTTTAATACTATTGAAGTGCTTTTTTTTTAAAATAGATTATTGTATTTTTCTGTATATAATATTTAATTTCTATTGTTGGAAATCTTGTGTATGATTTAATGGAATGTCTCTTATTGGTACTAGTATTTCCGTTTACAAACTATAGTGCGTCAAAACAAAAATTACAGGCAGAATGCCAATAAATAGTTATGACGCTCGCCTCAAAGCATAATTCACGATCGGAAAAAAAAAATAATGATATGGTAGACTTAAGGCAACTTTCATTGCAGATTAATTTTGGTTTTGATGATAAAATTAAACCAAACTCTAAAAAAAAAAAAATTCCTCCTGCATTTATTAATCTGCAGAGGGAGAAAATAATTCTGCAAGAATGCTTTTCCATTCTCATTGATGCTTGTTTAATCCCATCTTTAGCGAACTGTTATTTCAAATGATATAATGAGCATTCTGAAATTATAGTTTCAATTTTTTTTCAAGTTGTTACTGATTCAATTAAGTATTGAAAGTATAGAATACATAGAAGATATAAACATGATTATATTTCCTGATTTACTTTTCATGCCTATCTCTGAAATATGTTATATTACTTTTTATCAGGATTTCACCTTTGGTATAAAAGAAAGGATGCAAAAATTTGGAAGTTCTGGGCCCCATGCTTTCAAAGATCTAGCAGAATCAAATAGATTCTCTTTACCTAGATTTAGATTTCTAGAATAGATTTCTGTTAGCATACCTACCTAAAGGTATGCTATTAAAATGGAAATGGGGTGTCTATTATTACTTTAAAAACTTTGTTTTCAATAATAAGGATAATTTAAATAACAGTAACAATTAAATAAATTTTTCTAAAATTGTTCAATCAATTGAGCAACCACAGACAAAGCTATCAATAATTATGCAATCTTCTGTAAAAAATTCTATGCTGAACTTTTAAACAAGGAATTAAGAAATAGTAAAAATTTTAAACTTAGTAACTATTTTAAACTTAAATTGTCATTAAAATTTTTTTAACTTTGTATAAAAGGTTAAAAATTGAAATTAGCAATATTGAATTTCCTTACTTAATTATCAGTCCTAAAATTCATTAAATTCCTATAAAATTTAGAACAATCACGTGTGGGTCTAATACTTATCTAACTAAATCTGCAACCATTTTCTATAACTACTTCAATAAAATTATTAACAATATTATTAAAGAAGATTTTTCTTGAATTATCACTATAACAGAAAGGAAAAAAAAGTATGACTACCAGCACTCTTTGCTAAGGTTTTTAAATAAATAACAAAGTTTATCTATAAGTATTTGTTTCTTTATAAAAAATAGAAAATTGTTTTGCCATGGAAAAGTTGTTAACAAAAAGCACTAAATTTTTTTGTAGTTTTAATTTTAGAATCAAGATCTTTATTTTATTTGCATTTGATTTTTTTTTAATATGTTGATTCATTTTAATGAATTAATTTCACTCTTCTAACTTTTTTATGGATGTTTTCCCTCACTTTAATGATTTTTTTCTTTTTATATAGGTATTGTTGGACCAGATGGTACTCCATATGAAGACGGCGTATTTCAAATCGATATTCAGATTCCTGATAGGTATTTTATAGCATATTATTTCATTTGTTGTCTTTTTTTTTTAATTAATTCTAAAACAAGTTGTTCTGAGAATGTTAGCAGTTACTATTTTTTTCACAAACTCTTTGTCTTGTATACTTTTATAAAAATACATTAATCAGTTTTTAAATTTAACATAAATATTTTTTTTTACATGCTTTGTGTAAAATTTTGTTTTTACAAAAATACTTATTTTTAAAGCTGATGTAAATTCAAATGGCAAGACCAGCATTGACAAAACTTAAAAAATAAGTAACTGCTCATTGTAATATGGGTTTAAATTATTTAATAAAATCAATCTTATAAATTATCGTCAACTTATTTTTCATACACTGTGTGATATTATGTATAATTCTTTCCTCCTTTTCCCTTCTTCACTCAGATACTTCCCAAAATCACAATTGGCCAAATAAATGGTAACCAGTTAACAACACAAATATTTATTAACAAAGAAAAAAAATGAAGTTTGAAGAAAATTAATATAACCAATCCACCTAAACAATTCGCTTCCGCTCTCCATCAGAGCGTTCCCTCCTCTGTCTTTTTACAACATCTACCTTGATTACAGCGCCATCACAACATGGAGGCATGACACACTGAATCCACAATTTCTTTTTTTTTTTTATAAATTGATGTGGAATGTACAAAATTAATGTGGCAATCTGATTGATTTAACGAATATTGATGAAAATTATATTTAACTGTAATTATTGAAAAATTATAATAATGAAGTACGAGATGTTATTCATATAAACATGTTTTAAATTCTGAAAGGGAAAAGTATAAATTGACATGATTGCTTATTGGTTTATTGATTGCCTTGATATAGATGTGAACTTTAGCTATTTAAAATTTTAATTTTATTTCTGCAACAATCGAAAAAGTTTAGTTAGTTTTTGTTTTAGGCTGAGAATTGTATTTTGCCTCTGTTATCGATTATGTATACAATCCTTTATAGTTCGAGTTTGAAAGCAGATATTTCTATTCTTAGCAAAGTTATGAAAATTTTATACTTTTTTGTTTGCAAAAAGTCTCTAAATAATGCTTTTTTTTTATTAATTTTTTAAACACATATAATTTTTTTTTATAAAAGAGAATTTTAAAAATTGATTTGTTGAATTTTTTTTGGGCTATGCTAACTGAAAAGTACCAAAATTTTTTCCTTAGTTAATTGTGCTCTGAAATATTATAAAGAAATGTTAGTGTTTGTAATGCAAAGTTTATTACTTAATAATTTGAAAGTCTGGTATAAATATTCAAACTGCTCTTCTGGTCGTATTAAATGAGTCTAAATACCTTTTGACATTTATATATTAATTGAATAAATCATAACACTATGTATACAATTTACAATAAAGGCTGTAATTTTATGGATAATTTTTATCATATTGGTTACAGATGCTGTGTTAGTTTATGAAAAGTTTTGATGTATTATNAAAGAATAATCCTCCATTATATATATAATAAAAAAAACAGAAGTATTTCAACCAGGGTTGGGTTTTTCTTGTCAAAAACTGGTTTTTGACTTATCACATCAGAAACCTGTCATTATCTGTCAAACACATAGGAAAAGTTTAATTTTTGTCAGTGTGGACATTTTATTAGATAGTAAATTGACACAATACTTGCATTATATATTATAATTATTATTTATATTATATATAATGTATTAAAAAGGTAGCCAAAATTATTAAAACTTTTTTTTTTTTTTTTTTTTTTTTTTTTTTTTTTTTTTTTTTTTTTTTTTTTTNTTTTTTTTTTTTTTTTTTTAAGCATGGCAATCTTAATATTTTAGATCAATATTATTTAATTATATTATAACAATTCAGTCTATATTATATTTGTTGTTAATTATTATCAATATAAATATTTATTTTAGTTCTTCCATACAACAATTAGGCAGAGTTTTTAGATTAAGTAAAATTAAAGTGGTCGCCAATAATTGTCTGATCTCCTATAAAAAATTATATGCAGGGGAGCAGAATATCTCTTAATGCAAGAACAAGGTTTTGGAAGAAATTCAAATAGTCCAGGACTAACTTTTTGGTCTAAAAGAATTCCCTATGAAATTTTTATTGTTAAATGTGCTGCTTTGCGAAATGTTTCCTAATTGAAAAACCTGTGTCAATTTGTGTATTAGTTTATAATTTCTTAAATTTTTTAGTGGGACATTTAATTTAATAAATTATTATTATTTCAATACATTTTAATCTCTATTATTTTAAACACAGGCTTGTTAATTCAAATTTCGTGCCAAATTAAATTATGAATTTTTTTCTTTATTTTTATTATCAAAGATTTTAACAATATATAAACTCTTCTTCCCAAAAATACTATGAAAAGTTATTGTACTAAACCAAAAAGAAAATTTGTTCTGAGGAAATATTAGACCCTGAGAATTTTCCAAAACCCAGCTTATATGGACAGTGCGCAAAATAAAAAACGGACCACCCTGAGTAAATTTTGATCTAATGATCGAATCCTTCATGTTCTGGGACTCAGTATTAATACTTTGAGAGGGTGACCTCAAATATGCTGATTAATATGTGCGGATAATATTTTGAGTTACGAAATCAGAGACAGAAATGTTGGTCAAAAAAATTTTGAATTGTAAGGCTTACAATTTTTGGGTTTATTTTAAAGAATGTAATTTATGGCAAAATATAAAATTTTTTGCAAAATTGGTCAAATAGTACCTGTGAAATTGAATTTCAAAAAGGTCAGATACTTAAAATTTGATTTCTCAGGAACTATTTGACCAAAAAAAAAATCATAACTATAATCTAAACCTGGTCAGTAAACTATTCTAATTTACAAAAAATACAAATGTTTGTTTAAATGAGTTAATAGTTTTTTCACTCAATCATTTGACGGATTTAATTAAGTTGCTTTCAATATTTAGTTCAGTTATTAGTTGAATAAATATTATTACAAAAAAAATGGTTTAAATTAAATGAACAGTCTGTCTTTTTTTCTTTTTTTTAAAAAAAAAATTAATGGTGAAAGTACATCAAAGCAAGAAAAAACTCTGGAAAACAAAATTTTCAAATTCTCCCGTCAAAATTTTCTTCCTTCAGAATCTGGTGGAAAGATTCACGTGGAAGAGCAGTTCCTTAATAATTCACATATTTTATTTAAATGCATTTTGTATCCCCAAATATTTTTTTTGAAAAAACTTGTTTAAAATCAGTATTTTTAACTACATTTTTCACTTATTTCTAATACTTTATTGTTGAAAGAACTTTTTATAAGTCACAGAATTTTTCTAAATTGAATTTTTTCAAATAAAATAATCATTTAATACCAACAGAAAAGTTTGAAAAAGTGGCTGTTAAATGAAAAGACCTGTCAATATTTGTTACTGTTGGTAAAAAGTGACTGCTAAGTTATTAGTCTTCCGGCCACTGACCGTTAACTAAAAATTTAAATTTTCAGGTCTAGTTATTTAAAAAAATTTCTATTTACATATTCTTTTATTATCTTCTAATAGTTTTAGTAGGTCTAGGTAGGTTTAGTATATGCATAAGGCTCGGCATAAATCTAAAGAATAATTTCGAATTTCAGTCTTATTCATGCAAAACTGAAAAGTGAACTTGGAGTACAGAAAGCTTGAAAACTATTTCTTTGTAATTGCTTACTTCGGAAGGAGAATTTAAAATGAAAGTAAATGGAAATTGATTTTATCTATAATGAATAAGATAATTTTTTTATAGGATTTTTGTTTTTATATTTTTATTTTTAATAATTAAAATAACAGATAAATTGCAATTTTATATATTTTTATTTATATTTAATATTTTCTAAGCCAAAATTTGGGTTTTTGACAGCAATTGTCAAATGGAAAAAAGTTCTATGTCAAAATAATTCAAGAACATAATTGATTGATCACTTGTAATTTAATCTGTATCTTTGTTTATAAATACTTCATATTTATGATAACTAATAACCTGACATGAAAATTTTAAATTTTTGATAGTTGTTGAAAGAGATTTTTGAAATAACTGTTAAAACCGGATAAGATGGTCAATTGTCAAAAATCTTGCCAACACTGATTTTCTAACAAATTTCAATGAAGTAAATTTTCCTATCAGTAAATCTTAAATTGACCTTTTTTCCTTTTCTTTTTTTCAGACAACAAATTTATAATTCTTAATGTATCTTAAGCTTAAATTTAAAGGTGTAAAACAAATTATGTGATCTTTTAATTAAGGTGATTTAATTAAATAATTAAATTTAGAATAGTCAACATAGTACAACATATTTCATAACATTTATTTCTTTATTATTATTTTTTTTGTGTGTGTGGAAAATCAGTTCCTGATTCTTTGATATCACTAGATCATCATGTCTATTACTTTTGTTTTAAATGGTGCAGCTTGTTATTTGTTATTTATTGCTCATCTGTTATTATTATTATAGTATTTCTTACTGATGCATGAAATAAATTCTTATTCCGAAATATTTCAAATAAAACTTTGATAATACGCTGAGAATCATGGTGTTCAAAAGTTATAATAAGATTGATTTCAGTTTTTTAGATTTTGTGTTATAAAAAAACTAGTATAAAAATTTTCATTCTGTGGTTTCCTCATTGTCTAAAAATAATTATAGTAGATTTTTCTTCATATTATCATTCATAAGTATAACACAGTCATGTGAACTAATGTCATCGGATTAAAAGGATTTGGCTTGAATTAAATTAGTTAAGTTTTTTGATGTTTGATTAATTGAATTATAAAAATTTTAAATAATTACTTTTACATAGTCTAATAAATTATTTTATCAAAATCACTTAAAAATTAACTAATTCCTAGGGCATATTGTACAAATAACTTTTAAAAGGTTTTTTAAGATACTTATTATGTTATTCAGACTATTATATCAGTACATTGATTCTTGTTTCTATCTTTTTTATATTTTAGATATCCATTTGTACCGCCTAATGTTAGATTTGCCACTCCTGTATATCACCCAAATATTGATGATTCTGGTAGAATTTGTTTGGACACCTTAAAGCTACCACCTCAAGTAAACACTTCTCTTTTCTTTGAAACCAATTATCCTTTTAAGTTTTGCTCATCAGTAAGATATTCAAAAACCTGGATAATCAGTTTCCATTCAATATGTTTTTTTAATAATAAATAATTCTTATTCTGTGCATTCCATATCTCTGCCTAAGTATTTTGCATTTAGGTGAAACATTTAAGTGTATAGATTTAATAGATAAAACTTAATGTATTGACGGAAACTTCCCTCTATATTTTCCTTCATTATCATAATGATTGTTACGTTACTCAAATAGATATACATTATTAATCTGGAGAAGAAAAAAACTTGCTTGAGTATAATTTAGAATTTACTGTATTTCAATTTTTTATGTAAAATATATTTTGATGCTGTTAATGTGATATTTTTCTAATATTTTATTATTTACTGAGGCTAAGGCCCCTGTTCACTGACGGTCATCCACCTCGATGATTGCTTCACAATAATTGCTGTTACTTGGCATGAAGCAGTTGAAATTATTCAACTAAAAATATATGTACTAAAAAGAACACTTGTCCTGCCACTTCCTGTGTCCAACTATTTCCTTCCCTTATGATATATTAGTGAGCATGAATAATTTTTCTAAGTAATCATTTTTTGAAATAACATTTAAAATTAAAAGTATATTGTTATAACAAATTTGGTGAGTTCACTACTATAATTTAATATTTTTGCTTAACAAACAAAAGTAGGTGTATTTTAAATACAATTCTTACATTCATCACTTTGTGCATGAAGCTGAAAGTTAAGCTTTAAATCATTTAACGAATCTCTTTAACTGTAATTAATAATGGTATATTAATTTAATTTGCACCAAAGACTTAATAATTGTGAAACGATTAATAGGATCAGACATTTAATTTAAATAACTTCATCCTAAAATGTAATGTAGAATTACATTATTTTAACAACAATAATAATAAATTCAATCTTTTTGGAGCTCTTAATTTAGAAAACAAGCAAAATGAAAAACGCAATAACAGTACAGGTAAATACCATTAAACTAGGGATGCAAAAATATGTATAAGAAAGCAGCTCCCTTATGACTTATATCAATTTTATGCTGATGACAACCAAACCAATATGAAAATTAATGTGGGAAAACTAGATCCTACCATGTGATTTTCCAGCCAATAAAAATGAAAAACTGCGACACCATCATTAGATTTTTATGTATAGTGAGACAAGTTTTTAATCTTCTCATAATCTAAATCTTAAGAGGATGCCATACTACGAAAAAAAAATTTTATGGCAAATTTTGTTTCACACATGGGTGTTTTAAAATTTTAAGTGTAGAGAAAGGGAATTCAGGTTAACCTAAAATAAATTATGAAGCTTTAAATGCTGAAATAATATTTTTAAAATGTCACAATGCAAACAAATTATTGCAAGATTACTTGCCCACTGAGTAATTTTGCCTTAATCTATTTTGAATTTTTTTAAAAAAAGTTTCAGCTTTTAAAGCTTTATAGATTATTTTAGGGTTACTTCTCACTTATTCTTTACTTTAAATTATCAATTGCTCTTGTAGGTTGAGAAGAACTTGCAATGAAGTTTTTTTTTCCATGGTAGCATCCTCTTTAGTGTGTATTATGTTTATTTCAGGGCTCTTGGAAACCATGCTTAAATTTGTCCAGTGTGTTGATTGGAATACAATTGCTTATGTCAGAACCAAATTTCGATGATCCTCTCATGAGTGAAATAGTGAGTTTCTAGTAATTTTTTTTAATTTAAAATTTTGGTTCTTTTTACTGTATTGGAGTTGAAATAAATTAACTGACTGTTTGTTTAATGAAATAGTAATGTAATGTTCTGTATTAAAATTAAATCCATAAACTTTTAGTTCTATTTTCAATAGACATAATGTTTTCTGTTTAATACTTATTTTAATGATTATCTTTTTCATATTATGAAAATGGATTTCATATTTTTCTTGTCAGATTTTCAAGGCATATGTAATTAAGACATTTTAAATGTTAAATATGCTTTTAAAATATTTTTATTATCCTATGAAATATATTGTTTTCAGTGACCGAAGTAATTTCGCCAGTCATCCGACTTATGTGCTTGTGATTCTAATGATAAATAACAAGTAGGAGTGTAGGGTTATTTGTTTTCTAATTGAGGTGGTAGGAAGGAGCAAAATAATAGCATTTACAGGGGTCTGTCCAGACCGCATTTACTACCGTTTAGCGGTACCTTCACAAATTCAACTTTAGGAAAAACGGTAGTTTCACAAAATACTTTTTCTTAAAATTTTATTTTTGTATCCCGTAAGAAGCAATAAATCCATATTTTTGTGTTAATTTTTAAATATAATTTTTAATTTTTCACAAATTATGTCTAAATTTTCACAAAATAGGTACCTCTCTGAAAGATCTAGACAGACCCCTGATCAACATATTTCATATGCTGTGTTTTTTTTCCTGAATCATTCCTTCGTTAGAATTGAGTTAGCTCTTGTATCCATTATTGTAGTTTACCTCAAGCGTACTCTTTTGATTGCTGGATATACTATGTATGTTTCTGAAAAAGCTTAACATTTTTCACTACAGTTTTTACTGAATCTGCTTTTTCCAGTTTTATATTGGAAAGGAAAAAAAAACATTAAAGATTCTATATTAAAAGAAAAAGAGTTTCTGCTTTTTCATTTTTTTAAATAGTTTTTTTTTTGTTTGGCAGCTGGAAATAAAGTAAGCATTTTGTTTTTAAATTATCAGAGCCATTACTGGTATCTATATGTTTTCTATGAGTTTTTTTTTTTTTTTTCTTGGGGTCATAAGTATGTCACTTCTTTTCCGCAGAATAAGTTTTATCTTTTTTTCTAAACTGTGTTATAAAACATTCTGTGGTTATTTTTATTAAGTTTGTTTTACATTGTACTAAGTAGTTATCTTTTAAAATTGAGTGTTTTTAATTAATGTTAATTAAAAAAAAATAATGTGCCCTTTATAATATCTACTGTAAATAATATCTTACTGAAATATATTGTCTGTTAAATGAATTACAAGGATGGTCCAGAAATTTTTTACTGCGATATTAATTTATATAAAGTTATTCTCCTTTAAATTGTTTCGTTTTTCAAACGTACAATCAAACATTCAAAAATATTACCAACATTTGAAAGAAAATATTGAGGTTATTTTATGAAGAAAAGCAATAGCTCTCTAATGCTAATGATGAAAACGAAGATAAGGATTTGTTACAGTTGGAGTAAAAGACCACTCACTATGCTTGATCTTTATGTGCAAGTTAATCTAACTTGTAGTTTAATGTACAGTATAGAAATCAAAGTTTTACGAATCACACTGATGAAGTCAGGGAAACAGAATCACCACCTGTGCTGAGTTTTGTTGATGTACCTTAAACCTTCAAAACAACAAGAGACACTAATTTATAGAGAAGTACATTATATTTTCAACTGAAATTTTCTGCATTATAAATTTATTACTTTATTAAATTATTATTTGGTGTTTTATATTAACCTACTGTTGTCTTCTTTTGTATTTATTATTCACAAGGCATTACCTTAGGAGAAATTATCAATTAAAATTCTACTGTATTTAAAGTTATAATAATATTGTTTAGTAAAACAGTGTATAGTTAAATGTACTGAAAAAATTATCTTAAATTGAAAAGAAATACTAGGAATTGATATTTCCCACTATTTCTGTACCTTTCTGATTTATGCTTTAAATACTAATATATATATATATANATGTATATATATATAATATAATTCAAAATTATGTTTCTGAAGCTAACTAGTAAAATGTACTTTGTAAGTAAGACAGCTCTTAGAACTTTCCTGAGTTTTATTATGCTTGATGAAAATATGAAGATTTTGAACAAAGCAGTACATGATTTTTTTTTTATCTTTGCTTTGAAATGTTCATTTTACATTAGTTAAACCAGCCTTGTAAATTACATGTTTTCTTAAAGAGGAAACTAATTTTTTTAAAATCAAACTTTTTTAGGCTCAAGAATACCAGTCAAATCGAGAAAGTTTTTTAAAGCATGCTAAAGAATGGACTGATAAATTTGCCAAAAAACAAAGTGCAGAGGTAAGTAATATATTATGATGGCACTGTTCTTTTTTTATTCTAGCAAATAATTCCCCATTTCTATGACCAATCTGAAATTGTTATTTCTCATGTTCTTATGTTGTTCATAGTTGTTATCCTTACAATTTTGAATATTTATGTGAGGAAAGTGTTTGTGTATATATTTTTATTCTCTATTAATTTAAAAACAAAGATTTCAAGTTGTTTTGGGGTTAGCTTTCTGCAGCTTGCAAAAAATTTAAAGATGATATAATAATTTGTGCTACTCTCCCAAATTGTTTAATATAGACATCAAAATTATGAAAGCTTAATGTTTCAGACAACTTTGTATGTTACATTTTTTGCATGCAGTATTATAAAAACATGTTAATTATTGTTTGAAAATAAATTATTGCAGAAACAGATTCTCCACAAAATATCCATAGTCTTAATTTTTAATGAAATAGAAGCAGCCTTAGTTTAACTTAAACCAAATAACATGTGAAACAATCTAGAGGTACAGAGATGAAATAAACTTTTGAACTCAAAAAAGTTTACCTGATTTTGAGTTTCATTTCTTAATCATGTTTTGCTTTTCCTCAAAATTAGAGATTAAAAAACGTGTAGTTATATTTTGATTAGTAAGTGAGCAAAGTTTATTGAATAAATTTTTTCACAGTTTTATAAAAATATTTATTAAAAATTTAATAAAAATTAGTATGCTAGTAATGTGAAAAATAAGTATTAATTATAACCTGTAATATGAAGGTTCTTATAACATTAAGTTTTCCAGCTGCTATCTGTAGTATAATTAAAATGTGGATACTTTTTTATACATTAAGATAATAGGAATGCAAATTTTATTGTAAAGCAGAATTAAAAATAAAAATATTCTTCCTTGTCTTGTCTCATATATATTATTCATGATTATATCTATATTATTCATGATTTTCAAAAAAAAAGAGGGGGGGCATTATAACTGTAACCAGGTAATCAGCACTGTAGCACATCTTTTTTTTTATAATGTGCCACTTTTGACTCACTTGTTTTTGCTATGCAATTGTTTTAAAGAAGCAAAATAAAGCTTATAGAAACTTAAAAAGAGCATTAGCTTCACATGGAACTGCAGCTCATCATTCTAACATTCAAGCTGCCACGTTTGACTCACACCACTTTTTTAACATCCCTATTGTTGTTTTAGTAATTTAATTTTGATATTTTTTCAAATTTTTAATACAGTAACTATAAATTTTTTTTTTTTTTTTTTGCTTTCTATGATTTAAAACAAATATATCTTAAATTATATTAAAGAGAAAGTATAAAATTCTGTACTAATATTTTTCATCAAACTTCCTCGTAACATTTCATTAAACTATCTTATATTGTTGTCATGAAGTGTAAAGTTCAGTCAAGATTGCTTATAATGAGCTTTGATTTAAGGAAAGCATAGATTCAGAATAAAAAAATCGGAAAATACTTAGTTGGTAAAATGTTAAGTTGCAGCATCACTTTTATAGAGCAAAGCATGGTTTCCTAGAGCAAGATTTTTTTAATTCATAAAATTCCTTCATACTTCCACCTCTCTAATCCAGCTCAGGGGTATGTTTAGAAGAAATTTGGGTCCATTAATGCAGTGTACCCCAACCTTTTTATCACCACGGACCTGTCAACGTTTGATAATTTTACCGTGGCCCGCTGGAGGGGCGTTGATTCTTTATATTTTACTTTATTTTGATTTATTAATTTTAATTTAATTGTCTTTAAACATGCCTTCAAAATTAAATACAGTTACACCAAAAAATAAATATAAAGTGATTCAACATTTTAACTTACTAGAACGTTAAATCAATGAGAATCCTGTGCTTATTTCTTTGCAATGAGATGGTTCCATCTTGGGGTAGTCGGAGACAATGATACATTAAAAAATTTATGTCCCTACCTTCGGGGGGCCCTTTTTTTAAAATAAATAAAATTTTAATGTAACACAGATATTTTTAATTTGGGGTATAAACCTAGAAATTTAAATTTAGTTTCAATGAAATGGGCGGCCCAATACTATTTGATCCGGTACTGGACCAGGGGTTGGGGAACACTGCATTAACGGACCCTTCACAAAATATTTTAACTTAAAAACAGACCCTTCAGAAAATAATTTATCTTTTAATCGGACCCTTCACAAATTTGTTTATCTTCATTATTGTTTTGTTAATCGAATGAACCCTTCCCAGGAGGGGGGGGGGAGAAAGACATATGTAAACGAACTAAATTTTGCCTTCGTCAGACGCTTCTTTCTTTATTTGTTCGAAATATTCTGCGTTCAGCAGTATCTGCTAAATGCCAAATATTTTTATGTTGCATCGCTAATTTAGTGGCTGCATTTGCTATTTATTTTTTAAAATTTAATTTTTAAAATTTAATTTTTTTAAATATAATTTTACAGTGTTGAGCAAAATCTTGTATATCTTTACAATTTAAGAACCCTTGAAAAAAAAAATTTTTTTTTCTGCAATAATGGACCCCATTTGCACAAATTCACAAAAGTGGACCCTGGTTTAAAGAATGTGACTTAACGTTTATTTTATATTCTCAAATTTCGAGTAATTTTTTCACAATTTTACAAAAACAGACCTTTCACAAAATGTCTGGACAGACCCCTGCAGCTACTTCTGTCTTGGAAAAATTTGTTTAGCATTCCAAATAAAACTGAAAATTAGTGATGAGTCAATTCCAAACGTGAACTTTTTTCGAAAACAGGGGTGCAAATGACAACGATTTTTAGTTTATTAGTCTGATCTAAAGAACAATGACATGAAAAGAAAATTTGAAAGCTCGATGCAGATTAATTAACTTCTTTCATACTGTGTTAAAATAAAAATTAATAAATCAAAAATTATATTTTAAATGTAGTATATAGGAACATTTATAATTTTCATGAACCTGTTTTTTATGAACACTCGGTTATAATGAGCAAATATTGCTCTGTATGAGTAAGTTTGACTTAAATGAAGTGAGCGGCAGAGTTTTGTATATTGAACTATATTTGTTTTTTGACTAATGATAGTTTCGTATTGTGTACTTCATTTACTTTCATTTTAATGAGTACTTTTATTTTAAAATCATGAATATTAATTTTATTTGCTTTTATAGAAATCTAGTACAGATAATGTCAAAAGCTTGAATGGAGCTTCTAGTTCAAAGAAACATACATTAGACATCACTGAATCACCAGAACCGAAACGATTTTGTCTCTAATAACGTAATAGACTCCAAAATGTTGTGTAAAATTTTTATGCAAAGAAATTTGCATATAATGTGATTATATGCAAAGCTTTCCAGCAAGAATTTTTCTGAAAGCACTTATTTTCATGTTTATGTATATAATGGTGTGAATAGTTTATTATTTTAGTGTGCTTTGGAATGTCAAGATTGGACAAAAATGTATATTTTTTTAATATGTGACTTAGAAAGGACTGTACAGAGATATCTGAGGGATTGTGTGAGTTTTTCAAAATATTAATTTGTGAAATAGTGTGAATTGCAGATTTTAAAGGTTGAATAAAAGTATTTGTGTGTTCTTATGTGTTTAATTCTTGATAGTTAGTTTGTTTATAATTTTGTAGTTATTGGAATTTCAAACTGCCATAAAGGTCATGCAACCTCTCTTAGGTATATAATTAATGATAATATTGGACTTACAAACATATTTTTTTAGACCTTTTTTTTCAATGAATCTTATTTTTAGATACTTGATACATAGGGTAGAGGAGTATAGCAGCAATTATTTGAAAAAGACACAAGTCTACAGGTACTGTAGAACCTCAATTATCTGAGACTCAAAATCGTCAAATAACAAGGTTTTTTTTAAAGATTTTTTTTTAATGTATAATCATCAAACTATGAGTATAGTTATTAAAAATATAGTGACTGCAGTAAAGCTTAAAAAATACTTACTTGAATTTTATGTTTTTATTATAATTAATTATACAATAGTATTGTGTATTGTGGGGAAAAAAAGTGTTGCATTTTTGTTTTCTGTTAAACTGTATTTTATAAAATAAATTTTGGTTTGTCATAGCAACAATAAACTGGTAATATCGGCTTCATTTTGATTTTTCAGAAACCATTCTACACATTTAATTAACATGTCTTGTACTTCATTGTGATTTATAGTTCTACCATTATATGATTCTATTTCATTGTTGTCAAAATTATCAAAGTCTGGTTTTTTATTCAATACGTCCTGAAAATTTTTAACGTGGCTATGTTCATCACTAAGATGACATCTATTGTTCTTATCAAACTTCAACCAATGTAGTAAAGGAGTGTGAACAACTGAAGTTTCATTTAATTGAGCTTTGGATGATTGTTGTTCTACTGTATTTCATATCTGCTTGGTGACAAAAATTTTAAAACTAGATTAGACTAAACGTATTTCACCAATTTCATATACACAAAAAGTATAGTTTTATCAATTAAGTATGCTTACAGACGTTCAGCATATCTCAATTACAAAACTGACAGTTCTAAAAAAAGAAAAAAAATTGCCCGATTTTGATACTTTAAACTTATTTTAACCACCTTTGATAATAACATATCTATGCAGAATATATTCAAAAAGTTACTGCATTTTTAAGAACTACAATGTATATTGAAAAGTATTATTTAATTTAATTCAAGTCGGAAACTTATCTGAAGTCATCGCACTTAAATACATTTGAAATCAGTTTATAAGTTGCAGACCATTAATAAAACTTTATTGTGATAATCTGTGAAAATAACATATTTTGCTATTTGCCTATAATGCATCTGGATCTCTAAAAATATAACTTATATGGAAAATTATTTAAACATTAGAAAACAATTGTAAATCAATGAGGTAATCAAAGGCACAATAAAAATCACATGCACCAAATTGTGTGATGGTCTGTGTTGTAAAACTCATCAACTAAAGAATTTAAAACAAAATTATAACATTTTTGAAATTATGAAAAATTTTTAACTAATAATTGGAAACTTTTGTCTCCTGTAATGTTGATATCACAAATTATTTATGTTAAACTACTTTATTTTAAGTTAGAAAATTTATAATGATTTGATTAAATAGTTACTGAACAATTACAATTTAAAAATGAAACTTTTTTTAAGAAATAATCTTTTCTTAAAAAATATCTCTTAGTTACTATTCAATTTTTTTTTTAAATTTTTATTCTACATAATTTAAAAATATAAAAAAATTTTTTTTACCTTATTCATAAAGATTTTATTGGTGAGTAGGAATTGAAATAATTATTGAAATTGTTTTCCATTCAAAATATTTTTCAATTAATATGTTTTATAATTATATAAAAATCTTAATTTCGTTCAACAAATTCCAGTGACATATAAAAAAATACAATAAATATATAAAAAAAAAACACTGTTTTTATTAGGTAATATTATATTAAAACAACTCTCTTACTGAAATACCACCTCCAGTGTTTTAGCCTGCTAAAATCCTCCAGCTCTGTTCATCTACGGAACTTGATTTCTGGGAATCCTACTCATACCTGCCAAGTTTCCTGTTTTTTTTTAACGAATACTCTTATATTTTACGACTATCTCCTGTTTACCTGTATATTCTCACATTTATCAGTATTTGAAGAAATTAAAAAGAAAAAAAAGTTTTTGGCTATAAAATATCCGCTAATGGCAAAAATATTTCTCTTATTCTTCAACAGATGATGCTATTGCCAGTACTGCAGTTGAGTGTTTGTAGTTTAAGTAATTATAAGTAATGATTTAAAAAAAATCTTTAGATTAAGATTTATATAAATGTTTTATATTTCGCTAAATATAAGTACTTATATTATTTCTAATTTTGAATTTCTCTTTTTGACTTGCATGATCATGCATTATGTATCAAAACTTTACTTGCAGTCCAAAAAATGTTGCTAGTAAAAGCTTCATTTTTTTATTTCTTCAATGTTGGCAGATAGGCTCCCCATTTTGAAAATTTTTATAATTTAGTTAAGGATTCTACTATTTCCGGATATTTGTAAATCTGCTTTAAATTTATCTCTTACACTCTGAAATTCCAGCCAATCCTTCTAGCACCTGTTTTTTTTTATCTCCTTTCTTTTATTATTTTGTTCAAACTTGTTCCTCTGTTCTTATTGATTAAATCACTTTGCATATGTTTGCCTCCATACTTCTCTTCTTCCAATACTTATTTACTTCCCAATACTTATTTACTTATTTTTTGCAAAAAAAAATTTTTTTTTGGTCACTTAGATAAGTAAAGATAAAAACTATTTTCAAGTTTTGGCTTACCATTAAGGAGAACAATATGAACGAACGAGGAATTAAAATGAACTAACCTATTTGAGAATGAAGAAGAGAGAATAAAAGCTATTCCTGCATGACATGATTTTGATAATTTTGACTCCTCCGTTGCTCAAATCGACCCTCGAACGATCAGGTCGGGGTATGAAAGCGTTTTGGTTTTTGTCATTTACGAACTAATATACGATCTCTGTTAAGTGTTCGTATGCCCATTAAAGCTGGGAGTACGTCACTAGAATTTCCAAGATGGCACTCCAAATTTATTTATAGTAGTAGTGGTAGTAGTTAATTTACGTCGCACTAGAGCTGCACAATGGGCTATTGGCGACGGTCTGGGAAACATCCCTGAGGATGATCCGAAGACATGCCATCACAATTTTGATCCTCTGCAGAAGGGATGGCACCCCCGCTTCGGTAGCCCAACGACCTGCACGCGAAGTCGAGCACTTTACAGTAGAACAGTTTAACGAGGATCAGTACCGCACACCCTCGGTCTCTACGCAGACTGATCCAAGTGGTCATTGATGCTTGACTTCTGTGATCTGCTAGGAACCGTGTCTTAACGATCAGTCCACTGCGGGACCAAATTTATTTATAGTAAATTAGTAAGTAATTTTTAATTAGTAATTTTTTAAATAAAATGCTTATGTTATCGTGCTTTCATTTAAAAAGTTAGGTGGCATGGTTTTCATATAAATAGCTAGACAATAAGGTGAGGTAGCAGCTCTCACACAACTCATAATGTACACGCAAAACCTTTTTTTGAAAAATATGGGCATTAAGCATGGTGCGTAGCATTTTTAAAGAGTGCTTAATTTTTATTTTCGTTTTTCAAAAGCCCTTAAAGATGCTTTTTTCATTGGGTGTTTTTAAAAAGCGCTTAATTTTCCCAATTCGAAAATGGGAATTTTTTTCTTTTACCATGTCAATTTTCGTCATGTATTATGCAAAAGCGTGCTTTTCTCATTTTTCTATTCAACGTTTTCACAATTTATTCAACCACAATCTGTTTCAGCGTTCCGTCAGTCCATAGCGTATGAATGCTCCCATCATTTTACGGGGTTTGATGAAATACTTCCGAGTCCGCATGTGCGTATAGTGAGTTGGGTTCGGTGAGATTATTGCATTCTCATGTGCAACTCTGCTGCATTTTGCAAGATATGCTCAGTCTCAAGCTTCATTTTCCACCCTCTGAAATCGAACCGAAAAATCTCTAGATCATTTTTCAATTGCTAATATAATCAAGAAAAGAGGTCTTTGTCAAGAGCTAGTTATTTTATCATGATCATGCAAAATATTTGAAAATTATTTTCCATTTTGATGATGAATATAGTGCTTACAAATTATTTTTGAGTGTTTAAAAGGTGCTTATTTTTTTGTTGAAAGAGCTTGTTACTTTACCATTTTACCACCTCCGTTTGCTACAGAATAGGTTACTTGCGTTATCTTGCCCTTTTTTTTTAAAAAGAAAAAAAAATTCAGGCCTGTTTATTTAAATTAAATCTAAGTTGGATATAGATTTTTTAATTAATGGAAAATGCTGGGGCTTATACATTTCAAATGCAACCTTGACTACATCGAGCAAAAAAGAGGCGCTTTAAAATTTGGATATAATAGAAATGTCCGAACATGATATTATGCTAGGCATCAAAAATTAGATAAATCGTTTATGGCTGCACACTTTTGGAATCTTGTGCATAAATTTAATATTGATTACGTCCCAATTCTTTTCACCTCTGTCACATCAGTTCATCTTGATGCTCTGAAATCTTGCTTCATTCTTATGGATACCGATTTCCTGGTAAACGAAATCAGTTCCTGGATATTCCTCAATAGCCCGTGGAAATGCAGTCCTGCCTTGATTTGCCCCTCGGCTACCGCGATTTCTCTATTCACCATTTTTTTTCCGTTATAAACTTTGCGTTTACTTTTACAAATCTATTTCGTTTCCTTCATTCAGGTCTGTTGAATATTGAGAACGGGAAACACTTTCAGCCACCCGAAACATGTCTACTTTTTTCCATCTATTTTAATTTTATGAAGCAAATTAAGTATTTACATTATCAAGTATAACTCAGTTAGGAGTCTTGTCTGAATGTATCAAATTATAATAATGAAAACAAATAGATGAATAATGTGAAAACTACGTTTTTTAATAAGTTCAATTGAAACCATCCATTAAATTACTATTATAAAATGAAGTTCAGTTGGAAATTAGTTAAGGGGTTTAAGAGATTAGCATTCATTAATTTA